CTTCCTTCCTTCCTTCCTTTTCCCATCCTTCTCCATTATTTTCCTCCCTTCTAAATGCTCGAACAGAAGATGCAATGAGAAAACACCTCTGGACCCTCACAGCGAGAGAGCATCCGGTTGATAGATATCCTGTAGCCCTAAGCACACCACGTTGCTTGTCTGCGCCCTCTCACTAAAATACGGTCCAGTAGGCCGCATTGGGGCTGTGAGGTTTACGGGATGGTTTGAGATCTGTTTCCAAAAACACCTCCAAATAGCCTCATCAGCTCAAGCAAGTCTGCTGAACACTCTCTCGATAGGAGTATACAGACAAACAGTGCATGCCGCATGGCGCACAACAGTGGGCGAAGACATTAGGAACACCAAGTTATCACACGCTTCTAACTTCATAGCCGCGCACTTACAGTTGGCAGGAGTGCTACAGACTGCCGTGGACTTGTCCATCCCGTACACAGAAAGCATCCACCCCCTCAGGTAGGTAATCGCACAGAGTGTCTTAAAGTCAGCTATGTTCGACCAAAGGTCAGCTCAGAAAACGAAAGTAAGTACACAATGGATTTGGAAACTCCACAACAACAACAACAAAATATTATACTTATTGTCCACATTTATTACGACTGAACCACATCCCTTACATATTATACGTACATATCACATTCAACGATGTACATTCCCATTACAATAAACTTTCACTACCATACTCTCTATCAACCAGCTATCACAGTGTTAACAATAAAACTCTAAAACGCTGCAATCGCATCCAGATTTTATCAACAGAGCACTATCGCTTCATCATGTTTATTACTAAATAAATGGAAATTTTGCAGGAGTGAAATAGAGGAATTTCCTGACTAGCTCCATACGGGGCTGGAATCGCTGCTATCACAAGAAAAAATCGGCTTGTCTCTTTGTTAATTCCCAATCGATATATTGATCAATTTATGGCCGCTCTTGGGGCGGATGAGCCGTTGGGTGGAATGATGCATTTTGGTGAGTAGGTACGAAGCTTTGCTGATGCGTCTGAAAACATTGAAGAACATTTGGGTCTTAAAGACACGCCTCATGTTTATCTGATGTTCAGGCGCCTTCTTTGGATATCGTAGCTCTCCTCGCAAGGATGAACCATATATAGATTCCGCAACTCAAAAATACGCGAGGAAAACGCCGCCCACTCTTGACGGAACCACCGCCCTGCCCACCGATTGCGGTCCCGCCCACAACTTCATTTTCAAGTGTTTCTGTGATGGTGCGGTGTTCCCAAAAATACGCGAGGAAAACGCCGCCCACTCTTGACGGAACCACTGCCCCTCCCTCCGAAGCTGCCCCACCCAACTTCCTAGGTGTGCAAGAGAATCGTAATTCGCCGCGCTGTGGGCGTCGCGTGCGACGTCGCGCCCGCAAATGACGATGGTTCCAGGTCGTAGATGGCGACAACAGGCAATTCAGAACCGAAAATAGTCATGAATGTCTACGATGACGGGGTCTACATGAAGTCCGGTGCTCCAGTCGACAGGTTAACACGAGTTAAGAAAACGCCGCGCCCATCGCCGCGCGCGGCGGAGCGGCAAATTACGATTCTCTTGTCCGTCTCCCGTGCGGTGGTAAGTAAAAAGAGTTAGCACAAGCGAGAACTCGTCCGTCCATGCCGATTTTTCGCCTTATGTACAAGCGCCGTTCACCATGGAATTCCAAATAGGGCATTTCCGGCAGGGTTTTTCTTTTTCCAGTGCTGGATCATTTACTACCTTGCCACTGGAACATTAGCCGTCCAAATCCTCACTTCTGGACCCAGGCCGTGCTTTTGATTAAAATCAGTAAAAGTCGTCTGAACCAATAAAACAAAGAAACTAGAAAAATATTTTTGAAAAATTCCTTACCAGATCCGAAACTTGGGTGAATGCACTATGTGGTGAAGCTATGAGCGGCATCGAAGGTAAAGGTAGCGGATTTGTTACAGAGTACTGGAAATGAAAAGCATTGTTTTACTACCAAACTAACTCGAAGGCTTAGAGGCACATTCCGCAATGATTGGACGGTAGACGAAGAGGGCAGAGACTCCTAACCAATGCATCTTTCTCACTGATCAGCTTCTCGTTGATGGCGATAAAGAGAAGAGGCACTTTGATGAGGGCGCATTGTATATTAGCCTCTGTCCGAACGAATGTCTCGGAATGTGTCTCTAACTACAAAAATCTGACTCCCAAAGGAACGGGCCATTAAAGAACATCAAAAACTAAAAAAAAGTGTCGAAAACTTGTGACAAAAAGATTGAGTGGAACTTGAAGGTAAATAATGAATGAAACAAAACGAAATCATTCCAAGTACCTGGGTGGACTGAGCCGAAGTTGACGTTGAGTATTGAGGAGGAACTAAAACTATAATGATATTATCAACTTTATGAGAGACGGCTGACTACTCAGCCCTGGCTTTTTACCCCGCAGCCACAGACCCCACGCCTTGACCATTGACGCGTAAGACAGCGTTCACACTTCGCGATTTGATCGTTTGGATGGCGCAATCGTATCGCTCGGGCGTTCGGATTGCACAATCCAGGGCGATCGGAGAGCGAAATATGAACGCTATCCAACCACTGCATGATTGAGCGCCGAAGATTCTGGGAGGCGGGATCATGGACTGACTACGATGCTGCATAGTTGGGGTGGGGGTAAGCGACCACGTCTATTTCCCTGAACCAGGCTTGGGCTGGTCGCAGACGGCAAGAGTGACCGAAAATTCGCGTTTAGACTCAAGATGCGCGCCGACGCTGTAACGCGCGATGGGCGCTGGCCGCTTGGGTATTGAGAGGGTATGGAGAAAAGGACGGTAGGAGTTGCCTAGTCACGCAGACTGATATCGATCGGCACTGGCCATGCGTTCGCGTCTATGTTCGTGACAGCGCATCGACGCGCCTCATCTCGAAGTCTGAACGGTGCCTATGTCTCACGTTGGAGATGAGACGCAGAAAAGCGCCTACCCTTCCCCAACTATGTTATCGCCTTGACAGATCTCTAATAAATGCGTAAAGAAGGTGAAACTCGGCACATTCATGGGAGCTGAAATTTCGGGAGCTCTAGTTTGCGGCGGTGAAGGCACGCGGTGAAGTGACAAATTCGCTAACTTACGCCCTCCAGCTGAAACAATGATTCCTTTACTACCCACGCTTATTACAGAGTCGCGCAGGGCGGCCTAGTCTACTCGTGTGTCCCTCCAAGCCCCGAGAAAACACTAGCATTTCTGAACTATCTACATCCTCTGTGCTATTTTTCTCGAGCCTTTCTATTTCTCCCCCTCCTTCTTTTGCAGGTCAATCGAGCCACTAAATTCAAAGTATCAGTTCTTACCAGGTGTAGCGAATGCTTTGGCCAAATCCGCTTGTGGCATGTACTGTTGATGTTGTTGCTGTAGGTATTGCTGATGTTGTGCATAAGCAGCTGCGGCTGCTGGATGGTAATTAACCGCATAGTTGGGATATTGTTGATACTGCTGTTGTTGTCGCTGTGAGTAGTACTGTGATTGCGAAACAGGTGGAGATGACGAAACTTCTTGATAGTGCTGTTGCGACTGGTGAGATGGATGCTTTGGAAGAACTGGAGGTGGAGCTTGGGTATGCGATGATGACGGAGCCTAAAACTCGTCCATTCATCATCTATCGAGCGGACACTTTTCGAACCAAATCGGACACTCTTCAAAGCAAAACGGACCTTCTCAAATCAAATCGGACAGTTTTCAAATCAAATGGGATACACCTCTCAAACTGGACACGTGACTCACTAGATCTCACTAGATACTGCTGCAAGCCCCGCCCCAGCAACCCCGCCCACTTTACAGAGGCTCCAAACACTTTTGAGAAATGATCCAGATCGGCATGCTAGAGTCTGAAATGGCAGCTTATGGTTTCTTCCGTCACTCAGAACGAAAAACTAGGGACAGTCTGTTCTGAGAGATGAGCAAAACCGTACCCTGCCAGCGGATACTCTAGGCTGCCGATCTAGATCATTTTTGATAAGTAGGCAGAGCTCCCGTGAAGCGGGCGGGCCTTCTATTAGTAGGTGGAGCTAAAGTCTAAAAGTTGAGATAACTTATTGAAAGAGTGAGCAGAGTCGTACCTGAGTCAGTACTAATACCTTTCAATAGAGTGTGTGTGTGAGAACTAGCAAAAGTGCAAAAAAAGTCAGAGAACAGAATTCATAAAATGAATTTTAGAAAAACACGACCGCCCTCAGAAGCGGGCACGGCTGTAGGGACGGGGCTTGCAGCAGCACTTAGTATGGTCTGGTTAACTGCTCATTCAGATCTCAGGAAAAGGTCCGATCCAAAGTATATATGGTGTATGAGCTCGAATAACCTCATCTACTAGTTACTGAAACAGTACTTCACAAAGGCAGAGATCGGAAAGGAGGGAACAGACCTGAGCAGTCAAATCAGAGGCTACGTCGGCGTCAGCTGCTGTGGAAACCATACTGTACTGTGAGGCAGTGCTCAGTGGTAGGGATCCGGTAACAGGAGACGACGCAGATGCTGGTGAAACCGCACCCGAATGCACTACGACCTCCGTCTGAAAAAAAAACAGTCATAAGACTGAAAGGTTATGCCAATGCCATTGACCACATGCAAAAAAAAACTTTAACCCGACTTTTTCAGAAAAATTTTAGTAATGAAGGGGCACGTGTAGTATAGGTCCGCAATCATCATACACTTGTTAACAACACTTTCCGCGATCATTTGGTGTTCACGTTTCTTTGGGCGCGGTAGCCTTGTCCGCAGGCCTAGAGAATGGCCACATCGGCTACTCAAAAATACTTCATGAATGTGGGACCCACTCATGACGAAGACTCAGTCCCGCCCACTGGCCACGACAACGCCCAACTTTCTTACCAAAGGCTTCTTGGTAGCGCCTTATTCCGCTCTCGCTATCCATTATCATTAGCGAGGTGGTGAGGGAAATGAGCTAGCACCAAATGTGAGAACTTCTCCGACCAAGCCGTTCCTTCACCTCATGCACGTACAAACGCAGGGTTCTATATGGGGCATTTCAAGGCTTATTTAGTTGTCTGTTTTGCAGTAGATTGCATATCCATGGTAAAAAAGCGCCGTAAATTATACCTAACTTCACCACAGTGGCGAGCACATTGTACCAGCTCAATAAAGCGCGGTGCGCCAGTAACTGATGGGTGCAGGGACCGGGAGGATTCAAGGGACTACTCTTGCAAAACTTTCATCTCCATTATCTTTCCGACCGATAATTCCAAGAAATCCTTCAAATGACCCCCCTCCCTTTGGAGGTCCTTAGCGTCTGAAGCGAATTAACTCAAAGCACATTACAATGTAACACGGTCTAGATCTGTTCTCTAACTCACCAATTCAGGTATATTTACAGGGGCTGTGGCAGGAACTTTATCGGCAGACGTGATCGGGGCTGTTTCGTGGTACGGATGAGAGTGGTCCGACGATGCAGGGACAGTCGATAAGGGCGCCGAGTCAGCGACCGAGGCGGCTGGTGCTACTGATGGCTGTGCTGCGGGCGTTGTTGTTGCAAACGGTAACGATTCCTGCAATAGAGCCGGCTTTTAATTAACATCAGCCTAGCCCATTCGGATCGAAAATGGACTATTAAGGGAGCACTTACCTCAGCTGATGACGGTATTGCTGGCGCTATTTGAACTCGCGATCCCACCATTCGACTCGCTGACGCTACTGACGTCAACGACTTTGGTTCTGGTTGAGCCCTGATGAGAGTTAATTATGGCCATGATTTATCTGCCTTTTCCTTCCACAACTTGGCAAAAACGATGGTCTTATCTCGAGAGAGCAGCTAACGAGAAGGGATGATTCAAAACGCTAGAATTTGAAAAAAAAGTCATGTTTCATCCAAACCCGATTTTCTGAAAATCTTTATGGGACGTTCGTACACACATAACAAGGCGCTAAATGCACATAGGAGGAAAAAAACTCGTGAATGACGAGCACATTGGGTCTTCCCATTGCAGTCCATAGTAATACTGTACCAAAGTATCTAATGATCGTCCACTTACGGTGCCACTGGAGGTGGAGCTTCTGGAAGGGTGTCACGAATTAGTTGCGGAAGCACGTTACCCATTCTGCTAACAGTCATCTGGTGCAATCCAGGAACGGACGCAAACAGTCCGGTGCTTGCCATAACCAACAACATGTTCTTCAGCGATTCTGGCACGGCCTATAGAACTCATTTGACTTGATCACGAATCTCGCCCTCTAAAAATTGTTGAAAATACCTCATTCAAATTGCCACAACTGTCTATTCGAAGGTAACTCTCCATGAAGTCCAGTAATCGCAACCACAAGCTAGGAAATGATGGCAATGTAGAAAGGGCTCTGGAACAAAAACGCATCGTGAGCCAATCATTCTATCTGATCAAACCCTAGAGCAGATGATTCAAAAAAATAAACATTTAACTGTAGCTTCCAAATAGGGGATGCTTTATTGAGCCTCTACAGTGAAAAGCCAGCAAATATAAATTATAGGGTGTAATGTATGCTGAGTGTGTCCGTCGTGAAAAGGGGGATGGCTGTCTGGGGAGGGGCCTGCCACGAGTTGGTTTATGCAGGGCGTCGCTTAGCGTAAGAAAGCAAAAATCGCTGTGCGAAGGATTCGTTTTCCAAGCCAACCCTTTCATACGACAACCACGACCGAAAAACTCACGTCAAGTGATTCAGCAACGTCTTAGCGACAATTTGCATTGCACGCACTCGTGTGTCTTCCATACCAATAGGGTCCATTGCTGAGAAAACATCCAACAGTTTACCCAATAATGGGAATAGAACCTGAGCAGAGCGCGTTCAGCGTATAAGTAGAGGTGCAGAAGACAAAAAAATTTACAACAAATTGTATCAAGCACCAACTTCGCCAAAGCATGACTCCCATTCTGCAGCTCCTAGATTGACCATATTCGTTGGAAGGAACGCTCGCTGAAGAAATGATTATATCAAAGGTTCTCAGAAGCTTTTGCAAGCTCCATTGTAGGAGATTAGGCTAGAAAATAGAATTCGTTCATCGAGGATAAATGAGCATGTACGTTTGCTCCAAAACCCTGGATAGGCACCAAAGTTTGAACATTGAGAAGCGCTGCTGCTGTTCGGCTTAGGGAGGTGAGGTGGGAGTGTACATTTTGTGCTGCTCTATTTTCTTCTGCTGCCTTCCGGCTTCTGATGAATCAGGCCGCGTTTAATCTTCGCAAAAGCACACTGTGACGCATGCGGAACGCGCTGTAACGCGCGTCAACGCGCTTCATCGCGACGTCTGAACTGGCTTACATGTCTCATCTTGGTGAAACCTGTAGACTCTTGCCAAATGTAAACTAAGCTCATGCTATTGCATAGTTTCACAGGGGTTTACAAGTTTCCACAAGAAGCGTCGGCAGTGATCGATTAGAATCAAAAAAGCTCCACAGAGCCGGACTGAGCCTTAGGGGACGTTGTCGTGAAAAATTTAGGGCAAGGGTGCCTCTGAACTGCTTCAATGGCTCTGAAGGCACCACTTTTTTGATGTACGCATAAGACAATTCGTAAATACCTGCAAATGCGTCAACGCAGAAGCTCTGACCAAACGTCGACAGTCACATCCCAGCCTGGCTATTGCCTGCAGCAGTGGTCGCCATACCGTAGACCATACATGCGGTACGGATGCGTCAACCTTGAAGAATGTTTCTTCATTGACATTCACTGGGAGAAATACGAAAGGGAACATACTTCTGGCTGGGTTTTTGCCCATTGGGCTAGGATACCGGGTGCTAGGTTGTGGAGCGTTGAACAAAGATCAAGCAGTTGCAGTGATACCTGAAAACGAAAATCCTTTATAGTGTACCTAGGTATGTAAGAAATCAGGTATGAGATTGAAAACTGAAATCCCATTGAAGTTCCAGGCTCAATGCTCAAACAAAATACCTGCTGATAGCTCGCTGTCAACTGTTGTTCTTCTCGACGAATCTCACTGTCGTCTGTTACATCTGTCGAGAGGTCTTTCTGAAGAACACCACTGCAAACTTTTCCAGGCTTTATGGTCAGATGTTTGGACCGTCTGGGGGAGCGCGTCTGGATCCGCTTGAGGAAAACTTGGACAGAAAGGCATCAGCGATCTTACTAGGTATCGGTCGGGAGATCCACGATGCGGCGACGCGGCAAAAATACTGTCGCAAAAGATGTCAAGTGCCTGGCCACGTGCCGGCATTTGCACCAGGATCGTTGACTTTAGGCCAAACAGTACAGTCAACTAGCCAATAATCTCTCACAGATGAGGACGGTCCCTGTCATAAGCGCGAGGAACGGGTGGCAGCCGTAGACAGTTTTCGCGCATAAGACAAAATAAGGCGATAAATGACGACAACCGACCTTTCCAGGTTTTGCTGCCTTAGGTCTCTTCACCCGGTCATCAACATGGCTCCGTAGTCGATTTTGAGCATCACCACTGAGTGGCCCAGCCGCATACCTGAAAACCACATCGTGTTATAGAAATGACACGAATCGAAAAGTCTATTGACCGCCAAAAGGAGATAATAGGAGCAATGCTTGTGAGTAGCAGAAAACACTATTGAAATCACCAAAGTAGCGAACAGGAAGTGAGAACGTACCTTCCACCATCCAGACTCGCCTCGACCATTGTTCGCAAACACGCCACACACGATTCAAAATTGTCCGGTGTCACATGGATGGCATCTCGCAGAAGGAACGACAGGGTATCACACACCTGAGTGACAGCAATTTTAGAAGCACACAAACGATTTCAAATGAACTCAGGCGGGAGACGGACAAGGCATTTGTAAGTCACCACTCCGTCGCGCGCGGCGACAATTCGCCATAGCCAACAGTTTATCGATTGGAGCAGTGAAACTCATTAAGCGGAGGCAAGACTCTACCGAGTGATATCGGTCTTTCACTTCCCTTCAATATTTTAAAGACAGTTGGCAGGATAAATTCCCAAAACTAGGATCAATACCTGTGGCAGGATGGAATTCCGCGACCCTAAGCAGGCGCTGCATAATGCCCTTTAGGTACCCTTATAAGGGCCCTATCAAGCCACAACATACCGACCCAAACGCCCGCCACGCCCGCCCGCCCACAAATGGACGACCGTTCCTGACGCTATTCATTCATTTGCTAAGCAAATTATGAAGCGAAGGGATTGGTATGAAGCGGCCGTGATGCTGCATGCATATATGAGTACACATATGCAGCCGTATCTTCGGTAGCGGTGATTGGCAAGATGCCTACGGGAAACTCGTCCGAAATCGATTTACAAGTCACTGAGAACGGAGGCTTTTTCTTCGCAGGATTTTCACCGTTCTTTCGCCATTTCCCCACTATACAGCGCCCTACTAGCATTTTAGGCCGAAGTAGGAAACCATCGTGCCAACTGCCTTTAATTAAAATGCCACTCAAGACGATTTATCCGCGCGAGCGCCGCGCTGCTCGCCTTGCTCACCAGCACATATAACGATTGTCTTGTCACACACCCCAACAAAATAACTACCGGCACAAGAAACTTATAATTACACCGTTAGGACAACTTTCTACATTGCTTTTTAAGACATCTCCAATTCACTACGAAGTAATAGGGCAATTACGCTAGATGGCAGCTCCGTAATTATTCTCCTTTCGGAATGAGATCTGAATGTTTAGAACACCCTTCGATGGTACTGCATGATGTGATTCTGATGAAAGCGAGGGCAGGCTGGGAGGTTCCTTCTAAGCCCATTTCTACTTCAAAGGGAAGTGGGGACGCAGTTCGACTTGATGGGGGCATTTCGTTGGCTCCCATTGATCGCTATCGATGCCACCTAAGGAGACCTTTAAACTCTTGTAAAGTTATGCAGTAGCAGGAGCCTTGACAACAGTCCACGTGTCTCACCAATATGAGACGTGTAATTCAACAGGAACTTGCAAAATAAATTAACAAAAGTACAAAAAGGCCCCCTCTGACCCGAACGTGCTTTTACTTGTTTCTCGAAGCATTTTCAGCATACATCCTATAAAACGCTGTCCGCTCATGTCTTCCAAGATTGGTTCGCAGTACCAGCGACCCACGGGAGAAACCACAGACGCGGGCAGCGTTTCCACCTAGGGACCTCAAAGCATCCTCCTGGCAGCGACGAGGCATTTCTCGGTGACCAGTGTGATCCATTTACGGCGACTTTGATTCATGATAGGGCACTATCTGCCAGCAGCCCGCGAAGTTTCACAGCGCGCACCGGCAGAATCAGCTGAAAATTTTCATGGAATAGATGTTATGTCATCATCTAGGTTTTAATCAAAGCAGCAGGTTCATCTGAATGGAACTAAGGGAAGTTCCCCCTCAATACGACCAGCTTCTTTTGAGAGGCGGCAACATGGTCCCAGATTCGTGTGGGAGGCGAGGTTAACAACAACACTGAGTTGTACATCAGTTGGCCTGTCACAGCTAAAAATGGAATCGAACTCAGCGGAGGCTTCAATGCTTCTTTATCCTTTACAATTCCGACGCGCCATCTCTGCAAGGGCTCGTCATCGCTAAGTCTGAAAACTGCTGTACCTCTTTTCGGGTCATCGGACGTGTAGCCACGAATCATCTGTCTGGGAAGCTGCTGACATAGTTTCGCCACCGAACAGACCCACGCTTTCTCTTGCGTCAACTGGCACGAGTGTTTCCGTGCTAAAAGCATTAGATGCTCGAATATCGATAGGAAACATAGAAAATTTCTCTCATTACAGGAACATCGCCATAAATCACATGAGCATCTTCTTGGCACAGGTCTAGCTGCACCAGCTGCTTCCTAGTAGAGCTGACAGTACAGCCGCATTAATGCTCTCTTCGATGTACGTTGGCCGCATTTGTCCGTAATAATTCGTGAAGTCCATATGAAATTTGACGGGAAAACACATACATAGCTTTCGGTGAAAGACGCTAAATTAACTCTATTCTGCTTAGACGTTCAAAAATAGGTAGAACGTTAAAAGTCATACCAAGAAGCAACGATAAGGACTGAAGTACATCATCTGCTACCGTATTGTCTCGGAATAGGTTTCTATTGGCAATACGTAACAGTCCAACAACGGCTCGTTCCACAAGAAGCTGTAATGTGGACCCTGAGTTAATGCTTAAACTGCTGACGGGGAGTGCGGAGGCGGAGGGGGATACTCGATCGCTATGTGCTCTCCGACCCCCACCCCCCTTCCGTCCACGGCCGACGAGTGGCGTCCAATAACTTTCACTTAGCTCACTGGCTTCTTCCCAAGACGAGAACGACAGTAAACCACTACCCAATGTCGGCGAAAGCATTGGCCATACATAATGAGACGGTCTGATGTTACATATAACATCCTTCTCATACCAAAAAAAAAAACCGCTTGGCAAAAAACGCGGAAAGGGCAAAAAATAGACAGATTGTAACTATAAGCTCTAAATAAAAGACCAGTGCATCTTCGTTCTCTCCATTGAGAGGGGATCCCTGCAATTACAACATCAATGCTGTGTATGGTGAATGGTTACCAAATGAACTACATTGAATTACAGACACGGCACATCGCGCTGGGAACATTTTCGCACTTCATGCCTCCATGTTGCGTCTTCTCTGGTACACGCTCTCCCTCCCCCTACTACTTACCATCTTCCCGAAGTTCCTCTACTTCGAACCACTTTTTTTTAGTTTCTAGAAAAGTTTTTTTTTCCGAAACTGTCGCGAGAGAAAGGTTGGAGGTAGGAGCTGCGAAACGGGAGAGTAGCTCAGATACGACCCTCCCTCGCAAACCAACGGGCAAAAACGACCAGCTCCTCTCCAACTCGAGTTCTCAACATTGTGGATAGCGCGCGTAAAGCAGTGAAACCAACTATGAAAAAAGAATTTCTCAGGCTATCACCCCCGACTGAAAACCCCGCGTGCCCTGAATATGCGCGCAGTGTACAGCACCGATGAGAGAATCCCATCAAGGGGTCATAAATAGTCCTTAGAGAAAGAGGGGGAGTCGTATTTGGCATCTGACCTTGAATGAAACGTTTTACAGCTGCGAGAAATTTTTTTGGTTTTATTCGCGTAATACACAACCCCCCTCCCGACGACAGTTTTTTGTGGAAAACAGGAAAAAGTTGTCGGAAGTTGGGAAAACCCAGGGGGAGAGGTCGGAGAGGTCACACTAGATGAACAACCTGGGGGGGGGGGGCGGCGACAACGCCATTTCACACGACGCTGTCTGCGTAGCTGACACCTCGTAAATCCATTCCCTTTGACACTACATCCTTCTCGAAAGTCCCGGTTGTCTGGTCCGAAACTGAAGTCCTCCTGGATTTTGGAGTCTAAAAAGGTCACAACTGAGCGCATGTCCATTACCTGTGAAGAGTTATCAGATTACGTGTCATCTAACACGTTAATGAGATGACGTTGACGTGTTACTAACAAGAAAATCTCTATTGTTCTCAAGATAGTCATTAATGTGCAATGTGACGTCAATGACACGTCATCCAACTCCCAACCGGTAATGCACCTGTTCTACTTCAGCGCCAATAACAAAGTAGTGAACCAAAGAAAAAAAAGCTAACCGGTTTGTGAGAATCCGCCTGTTGCACTACTGCTTGGCTCGCATGGATTAAAGCATTTAAAAGCTCCGATAGAGCTGTACTTGTTAGGTACTTGCTATCAGTGAATAACTGAGAAGGTCGGCATTCGGCAATAACAGACTGTGCAAGCTGAAAAAGACGAAATTTTGTTGCGATAAAAGAGAAGTTGCGCTAAAAAGGGGTGTCTTTTTGAGGAAAACTTTGCGCACTGCCATGGCTTAATGCGGTTCAGATGACTCTTTTACTTGACTGGAACAAATTATGTATCGAAGATATAACAAAAATAACAATAAATAATGACCTTGATGGAATTCTGTTGCTCCTGAGTCAGCTTCTTTCGTTCACTTTCGCTGGTTCCTCCGCCAAGCCCAAACCATGAAAGGAGACCAGATTCGCTACGCACCGGTTGAGTTTCCCTGGAACAAGTGCTCCATAAGCCATCATATCAGAGCAGATGTAATGAGCTCAGGTCGCGAGCTTGTGTTATGTGGATGTGTGCAATCATGATTCGAGAGCAGTGCACGCAAGGATCAAAGTAAGGAATTGCTAACCGCTTACTCACGACTTGAGCCTTGCCCGATTCGCTACTTCTCGACGATCGTTAAGTATGAACGTGGTCCTTTCAAAACTATTCCCAAATAAATAGCGCCTCATAAGTCACTTTTTTACTCGATATTATCTTTTCATCAGTAAATGCCATGTTATTTATTCCGTTTTCTATTTCTATGTATGGACCCCTTCTCACTTCGTTTATAGGTCTCGTTTCAATTTTTCTGAAACTGCGCTTATGCTCTGCCCCAGCGTCCGCAAGCGTATCGCTCGTAGTTTCGAACTTTTCGCGGGCAATCGCTGAAAACGCTGGTGTACACACAGAACAATAGATTAATATGTCCTATTCTCCTAGCTGCGCAACCTTTAGAAACGTCGCAGTAGGCTCGAAACGCCGACGCAAAGTATGAACGCAGCTTCAACGCTGAACTCACGTTACATGATCGCGTATCAAAGACACCCAGCCTTTCTCGTCGACGAAATCGTCCACTTCCGTCAATTCTGGAGGTAAAAGACGAGCACGGAATAGTTGCAGCAAGCAATCGAGGAGATTGCGCCAACCCTGAATCAGATTGTTGTACACTAATCAGATTGAGTTTGGGCCATCATCTACCTCTCTCAATATATCCCCACTTGCATGGACCAATTCGAACATGGTTTTAGTAGCCATTTGGGCTTTACGATTCTCTCCGAACGCCACAGCAATTCGTTCATGCTGAACACCTGGTGTCACTTCGTTCAAATTTCTCTGCCGCTGCATTTCCAAATTGTCATCTCCATGTCCTGAAAAGTTTCTCAGGAAGCTGACAGGTACTAGTACACTATTATTCATCCAGACATTTACCTACCTTCCGAGTTCGACGCCAATGTGCTGAACTTGCACAGATGAATGATCAAATTGTCGAACACGTCCTTCATGCCGTAATGCGCAGCAATCGATGCGCATTTTCGAAATCCATTCAGCGCTTTCTAAATAATCTCTATAACCGCGTTCAAAATCTGCGAAGGTGGACAATGCGCGGTATGGGAGGATACTCGATTTTGGATAATCGTACGCAAGGGAAAAAGTGCCCATCTGGAATCTGGGTTTCGATGATATGCGATTCAAGAGATGCGATTCTCAAGACAGTGTGAAGAGCATTACTCCACAGTCGCGGCATCGCGCCAGAGACGCAGAGTATTCTCTAGTTGACTAGACAGGCACCGAGAGAGAGAGAGACTTAGGCGACTTGAGAGATGCAGACGCAGAGAGACTAGAGAGTGTCGATGCGCCGAAGTACTGCTACGTCGTATGGATTAGGTCCCAGTGCGAATGCAGCGTACAGGCCGTCTATTTTGCCGCACTCGCCCCGACAGGGAACCAATGCTTCATACAATCAAGATTCGGCGACAGAGGCTTGATCGCAAATCAATCCACCCCGCCCATGTGTCGCGCATTTTCCCCACTTTCGCTCAGTATGAACGCCCCTTATCCCCTCACTTGCATGTAAGTGACGGGAAGAAATCAACAAAAAGTATCTAATCAAATGTCATTCAAAACGTCAATTTACTAGAAATGAAACACTAAGAATTAAAAATAATGATAGATAACTTCAACTCTGCTCTATTTTCCAATTTCGCTGGTGTAATTCAAGGTATCTGTGTCGCGTATCACGGCACAAACCACCATTCTAGCCAGTTGACTCGACAAGCATTCGCCGTCGAACTAATTACGAAAATCAATGAACATCATAAGGTTTCAGGTTACACTCAAACTCTGCGTCAGCGATTTGAGCATAAGGTCGTTTTGAAAGATTATGGAGTTGCGGATATCGATATAGCGTTCGAGTGTAAGTCTGTGTTTTCAACTACTGCCTGCGAAAAGAGTAAAACTAACCGCGAAACGCCTAAAACGCGGATGCAAAGTATGAACACACTCTAAGAGATGCCAAGTTTCCTATCGAGTCAACTAGCTAGAAGCAATAGCTGACTTGCGCGCGATGCCGCAAGTCACATCTCCTCAACTATACCAACATTTGCGCATCAACCCTACCTGCAAAATAACGTCATGCTCCGATTTATCAAACACATAGGTCAATGCAGCTACAGCGGGACCCCACGTGATTGAGAACAAGTCATGATCGTTCCAGCCAGTTGGTGCATGTTCAAAGTGGCCTTCAGCCGACTCTCCACGTCGAAGTAACACCTGAACTTTTTATAGTTATAGTTTACAAGATAACAAAATAAAAGCAAGCATACGGAAATTATTGATCTATTGATCCAGCTTTCATTACCTTCCACAAATAATTCTCCTTGACAATTCCAGTCTGTTCAGCTGGCATCACAATTTCCTCTGATTTGATGGCATTGTACATTGTCATGAGCATCTCCGGGTCAAAATCTGCCCCGCCATTTGTGCCCGAGAGATTTCTTTTGAAGCAGTCCACCGTCATGGGAGGCTGATTTCGGCGAACCTGGCACAAATGTGATTATAACTTATTCAGGAACTCACTCAACTCACTGAACTCTGATCATACCGTTGGATTATGTTGATCAGTGTTCAGCATTATAATGGCGTAAGAGAGGGTGAACGCTGCATCAACGTGATTGAACGGCTCATGGTTGGCCTTGTACCACTGGTCTGAAATAAAAAGACCAACTGGGAACGTATCTAAAATTGTATCTAAAAAGCTAACAAAGTAAGGCAACAAGGCTAATCCGGTGATATTTAGGACTGATAACGGGCTCTATGATATCATTCAGATTTTGCGATGATGCGCTTCGACGCGCTGTAGCTCGCGTTACAAATAGCGCTTCAATGCTACACACGCGAACACCCGCAGAGGGAAATCGAATGCCGCCGGCCGCTAGGTGTTTTGAGATAGTATGGAGTAACAGCAAGGTACGCCTTGCTTATGGACGTAATTGGTATCGATTCGCACTGGCCGCCAGGCTTTGAGAGGAAACAGAAGAATGTGAGGGTAGCGGGTTGTGTTCAAGGCGCAGCCCCGTCTGCGGCTGCGTTCGCGTCTGCAGATTAGAATGCTGTTGCAGTTGTAGCAGGTCGACGCGCTTTACAGGGCACTACAGTGTGCCGATGCCCGTCATCGCGAAGTCTGAACGCTGCCTAAGCGCACAAGGCGATAAATTATCTCCGTAAAGTACAAAAGCCAATCTATGATCTTACCAGAGAAGTGCTGCATAACCATGCTGATCTCTGCCGCTTCTCCAGGAAGACGGAATGTCTCAAGGAACATGCGAAGAGCATCGTCCAGTCGAGTGTTCTCGAAGGGGAACGATTGTACAAAGGCCTCCAGCACCTTAAAAATAATCATTCCAGGAAGAAATCCAATGAAGAGCGGTAACCTAAAAGAGCTTCAGCGAAACTACCATTTCCACTCACATCAGCATGCTTCCTACTGCAAATATAATCAGCAATCTTCTTTTTGTCGAGTTGAGGATTCGTTCGCAGCCAATGCACTACACTTTTGGCATCCGCATCAAGCAAGCCCTTCTCACGCAGGTATTCAATACCTAAAACGTTTCATTACACTTGACTATTTCCTTGGAACTTTCATGAACCGTCTATTCGAAGGAAACATTTCTAAGAATGCATTTTAAAGCAGATTCGTCAATTAGTTCACCTTTCTTTGGGCTCTGATTGAACAGCTCCGTCCCTTCAGCGAATATCCGCTTCCTCTTCTTCTGGTCAATGACCTAAAACAGCTTGAATGAAGAATAAAAGAACAATTACAACAGATGGATGCTTGAACGATTAGCATCGGAAGAACTCTGGAGCGATCACGAAAAAGAAGCACCATAAGTATAGCTCGTAGCACCATAAGTATAGCTCTTTCGGGATTTGATTACATCTAACCATATTGCTCAATTCCCTCAAATAAGACGAACAACAGTACGAGTGATTACAAGTAGAAATCAAGTAAAATAAACAAGCGCCACCTATGTTTAAAAGTACAAGTACTAGAGCGATTCGGGAAACTAACGACGTAGCTCGGGTTTATCATCACTAACGTACTCAGAAAAAGCAGCGCTTACGGAAGCGGAACTTTCCATCCGCAAGACTAAGGCAGGGCTCAGACTTCGTGATAGCACGCGTCGATACACTGCCACTGTACCCACGCCAATACTCAAGACGGGAACGCAGCCAGAGACAGATATCGATTGGCGCCAGGCAGCTAGTTTTATGGGAGCGTATAGAAGAATACGAAGGTAACAGACTGTGAGAAGACGGCGACTTTTCTCCTGTTAACCTATACCCTTGAAACATGAGCGGCCGACGCCATTCGATACCATTCCATGACTGCATGCCCGTCCACGCGCGCTGACAAACCACGGCTGAGCGCAGGCGACCAGAACCGTGGTGGACGAGTCTCACAGAGCAGAAATAGCTAGCGCTGCCAAATAGCCCTCTCGAAGAACTACGCCATTACCCAACTGCCTCTGTGTACGACCATTGGATACAAATGAAACAACAAGTATAGAAGCAGAAATATCAATGATAACATCACTCCCTCAATACTACCAACCTGTTCCATTGAAGGCATACGGTGTGATGGAGCGTGACGATTCGCACTCGGCAAGAGGGGTTTCGGCATCGATTCAGGAATAGCTTAAGAAACATACTGATTAGAAAGCATGAACCGTTTCAGAGCCACAGTGATGGAACCGTCACCACCTTACGTGACAGATAGGCGAGCGTTCAGAGCGCCAGATTGAAGGAAGTCGTTCTCTTACCTCTTTCTGGTGTGCTGTTGCTATAATCGCTTCCACTGGCCAGAATTCGTTGGCCGATCTCGTAACCGCTCAATATTGGAAGAGGTAGAGCAGATACAACTTTAGGGCTGAAAAAGAAACAAGCATTTGCTACTTCCGTGAAAAAGGGGCAGAAGTAAAAACGAAAAGGAGTGAAGCATGAAAAATATGAGCCAACAGTATCAATGGAAAAGTGCGAAACAAACATGTGAAACTTACTCAGCTTCAGGTTGTGGTGCACCCAAGGCAGCCTGACGGCACAAGCAGTTCTGGTCGATCATATCGATGACGACTAGTAAAGCATCCAGAGAGATCAACGAATGTGCATGAAGACCAGACATTGGGAATGCGTTTTCGACCAATAGTTTCGTCAACTCTTCGAAAACGTTGCTAGAACAGTCAGCTTTCGAAATTCACAGTACGCGTGGGATCATACTTCGCGATCGCGCAACTGGATAGCTCAACTGGATCAAGCGATCACGACCGGGGCCACTCCATCGTCCAAAGCTGCTCCGCCGCAAAAGCGGAATTCAAATTGGGCAGCGTTCACGCAGAGCCAATTTAAAGTGTGCCGTTGTGGCGGTTCACTGTTTGGCGTAGAGCGCTCCCGCTCAGAATCGATCGACTGGATCGCACGATAGCGAAGTATGAATGCGCGTCTTGACGCTACTGTAAATAGGGGGGAAGGAAGCAGGACAAATCGTACATTGGGTCGTATTTGGAACGAGAAATTTTCCCGATGGTTGATTTTTAGAGGCGCTTGACAGGCGCCATATGCCTTCTCTGACTAACGGAGCAGCAAAACTAATAGTCCCCTATTTACTCCCCTCTCCAAGACAAAGCAGATAGTACCGGAGAAACCAAAGGAGAAAGAACTAAGGGAGGGGGGGGGGTTCAGGAGATTCTTCCCAACGAAAGGACATCCTTAGGAGGAGACACCTTACAAGTACGACGTTAAGCCACGAACACGAAAAAACTTGCATGCGGCGACCAAACGCCAAATCTCGTGCTCAGCTCCCCGTCCCCATCCCCCCCCCCCTCCCCAGCTACTGCAGCGCCTGAAAATTTTCCTCATTCAAAATGAAAGCAGAAGAAAGCACCTGCAATAAAGATCACAGTCGTAGTTCAGGTATAATTCCGTGACCAAGCCGGGTATTCGCCAAAGCTGAACAATCGATTCCAGTGCCATCTCTTTCTGTTCGTAACTCGTCGTCCGCTAAACATAATTTTTTGGAGATGGATAATGCAACAGCCACTTGGCCTCCATAGCACCCTTAAATGACGGGCCAAGAGATAAGAGAACAAGTAACCTAGTAATGAGTTCGGTTTCTGGAGTAGGCGGACTCCCTCCCCGACCCCGAAGACAAAACTCGTACGAACTGTCGAAACTAGCAGAGATTTCGCTCATTTGTGCCCACAAATATAAAAATAAACCAAAGTGTCGGAAAAAAAATACCTGCTCGTTCAGTACAATGCCTTTCAGCTTGTGGAAGTAGGCCTCTAGTTGGAACTTTCAACTGGCTTCGCATCGATTCAAATAGTAGGAAACATGCTCTATTCGTTGCTGCTAATACTGGCAACTTTTCAGTGTCGAGAAGCTGAAAAGCGCCTTGTGAGATAGTTCGACCAATAGAATTTGGGCCTTGAGCTTCAAGCAATTCACTAACGATGAGTTTTTGACTACTGTATGCACTGCGCTAATGAACAGGTTGGAGAAACGTTCTGCGGAAAAATAAAACATCTTCAAAACGATTACAAAATACATACCTGGAGCAGGGATCTACAAAGGTTATCCTTGAGAAGAGGTACAAGAAAAGAGTAACTAGCTAGATGATCCGCAGCAGCCTCAAACAACACATCAACGTCCCTTTTATAAGCGCAAGCAAGAAAGCGAACTCACTTCTAGCGCAACAGTCAATAAGTTCAGACCAAGAATCACCATCGATTCCGTGTTCTGACGATCTAGCGGATTTGAGAGAGCAATTAAAAATCTGGATCAAGAACATGACGAACAATTCAACTGATGATAAAAGCTCCACTACGTACTACCGTAATTGCAGTACCTGAGCAATTCTCTACAGCATGGCAATCCATATGGCATTTGTACGGTGTTTCCACTTGGCTCTACCTCTTCATCGTCTTCTACGATCGGTTTTTCTTGAGCTGGAGCAGCGCTGTGTTGCCGCGTAGAAGCTGTCTGAAAGCAAAACCCGGGATTTCATCAGTTCTCTGCTTTCTACCCAATTCCAAATAGCTAAAAAAGGGAATGTTTCAGTTTAACGGTCAATAAGATCGTACCTCTTTCATCGTCAACGCGTCATCTTCTCCTTCGCTATCTGCTTCATCGGCCTTCTCTTCCTCCAAGCGTTTCTCCTCTAGAGTAGGATCAGGTGCCGTAACTTCATCGACTGGTGGATCAGTGGTCAGCACCATGTCGTAACCTCAAATGTAACTTTGAGCAAAGCGTTGAATCCATGGTGGTGCATTTTTCTCATGTGATGCGTCACGGTTCCATTTTTTTTTCAAAATCTTCGAGCTTTAGAGCGTAGTACGCAAGCCACTCCATGCTACGCCATTCAATATGAAAGTCTGGCACTATTCAACTATTACTACCCCAGTTTTGCGAAAACAGGCCGGATCTTGATCGACTTTTTTCTACGGGGGTGGATTTGGCTGAAAGTTGGGTTCTAGGGGTAATTCGACCTCCTGAACACGAATATCACATCCACTTGGCCTGAAATTGCCTGGCGCCCGCGCCATAGGCGCCAGTGATTTGGGGCATTTTGGCGCCGGCGCCCGTAGCGCGGACGCGGAGCGGTTTCAAGCCGAGGGAATGTGATATTCGTGATTAGGAGGTCAAACTACCCCTAGGTACAAGTTTTCAGCGGATTTCGTGATCTAGGGTACTTTGGCGCCGGCGCCTGTGGCGCGGGCGCCAGGCGGTTTCGAGAGGAGCGGATGTGATATTCGTGTTCAGGAGGTCGAATTACCCCTAGAACCCAACTTTCAGCCAAATCCACCCCCGTAGAAAAAAGTCGATCAAAATCCGGCCCGTTTCCGGAAATCTGGGGTAGTAATAGTTGAATAGTGCCGAAAGTCTTTCTAACCCCTAAAGAAGTATGAAACAAGATACCTGACTCGTAAGGTATGCAAGCCGGCTTGGAATAGAAGTGCTCAGGCTTGATCGGGAAAGGGACAAGACAGTCGCGAACCACATTCTTATTGATGCATTGTCGATTTTATTCAGATCTACCAGTCGGCTTCACCTTCACTACCATCCTGAGCTCATTCAAAAACTCCCAACTGTTTACAGTCGACATCAGTCTTTCCAATGGATCGTCATTTTCGGCTCAACTTCAACTTCCGAAACTTCCGCAAATGGTATTATTTCTATATCGAGTATATTATTTTGGCAATATTCAACTATTACTACCCCAGATTTCCGGAAACGGGCCGGATTTTGATCGACTTTTTTCTACGGGGGTGGATTTGGCTGAAAGTTGGGTTCTAGGGGTAATTCGACCTCCTGAACACGCCAATAGTCACATCCATACTCCTTGAGCCTGAACGCCTGGCGCCCGCGCCACAGGCGCCGGCGCCAAAGTACCCTAGATCACGAAATCCGCTGAAAACTTGTACCTAGGGGTAGTTTGACCTCCTAATCACGAATATCACATTCCCTCGGCTTGAAACCGCTCCGCGTCGCTACGGGCGCCGGCGCCAAAATGCCCCAAATCACTGGCGCCTATGGCGCGGGCGCCAGGCAATTTCAGGCCAAGTGGATGTGATATTCGCGTTTAGGAGGTCCTATTACCCCTAGAACCCAACTTTCAGCCAAATCCACCCCCGTAGAAAAAAGTCGATCAAGATCCGGCCTGTTTTCGCAAAACTGGGGTAGTAATAGTTGAATAGTGCCATTATTTTTATATCCTATCTCATGATATTACCACTTATTTGTTATTATTTATAATATGGAGCTATGTGTCTACCATACAAAGAGCCCTCTATCAAAGGCCTATCTACGCTATTTCTGACATTAACAAAAGGCATGCTACGTGTTCTTGGGATCTTGGGGTAGGTTCAGTGAGAAGTGGCACAAAAGTGGGTTTGGCCTCCACATGTCGAACATTTGTCGCACTTGAATTCTTATACGGTATTGCTAAGCGCGGTAACCAAGTGTGTTATAAAAGTTTTTTATTGGCTAACGTTTCGGCGCCTTATCGCCTTCGTCAGAGCCTGGAAAAGTCAAAAATCAAAGTGAAACTACCCTCGGAAATCATTTCAAACCTCAGATAAGCTAGTCCCAGACCAGTAGGATCCAGAAAGTCATAGAACACCACAAACGACTCACCTCTTTGATGCACGACTGGTTCTTGTTTAAGACCACCGCTAAAATAGACTCCCCGTCGGTGGCTTCAGCTGACCTGACCGCTCTACTTGATGCCGATGGCAACTGAAGCCCACACAGGTCAGCAAACGGGGCGAGCTCGTTTGTGATGGTCAGGCATTCGTCCTTTCTATTCATTCTGGGATTTTTAGCGCTAATCCAAAACGCTTCCAAAGTTTTGCGCGCCGAAGTCTGTGGTCTCGCAAATCAAAATCTAACCGTCACCTCAAAACTCCGCCGCCTCCATGGCGCTGACCCGACGACTACCCAGGGGGACTCTTGTCTTGATCGCCTCAGGCTATCTAGGTGTTCCTTCACCCTGGAGCACAGGGGTCGTCCAGTCTCCCCGATGTACTCATCCCCACAACTCTTGCATGATATCAGGTAGATCACACCTGATTCCATGCAGTCCCCCTCCCGCCCAGAAGGACATGTCACACAATGTGGGGTCGGGCAGTACCGATCATACCCGCGGTTGCGGATCAGCTGCTGCTTGAGGCTCGCAGGAGGGATCTCGACCAACCGAACCATGTTGTCGAGACCGT